TGCAAAGCAAGACGCTCAGTATTATTTGAATGGATTAAAGGGGTGGGAGCATCGCTGGAAAAAATGTATCGACTTAAAAGGAGACTACGTGGAAAAATAAAATTGAATTTGACCGAAAAATTACTTGTTTCTATGTTAGGCTCAAAACTTTTCAGACGACCCTCGTACATTGTATATATATATAATAAGCATTATTCAAAATGTACTCTCGAGAAAAAATGTTTTATATATATTGTTTTATATATATATATACATTCAATTATATATACAATTAATTAATTATATATAATTATATAAAAATTGATATATTTTATATACAATTATATATAAAATATGTTCATGTATATAACATTTTTTCCCAGATTGCGTAGAGGTCAAATTGATAAAGATCAGTAAATAGATCTTTTTAAACCTTATAACTTTTGTTGGAAACATTTTTTAGAAACGTCATCCTCCCGACTAAATTCGAGGACCTTTTCAGATATTCTATATATATTATATGCTTACGAAAATGACATTAAATACCTTTAGTTTTACTAGATGGAAAAAAGAGATCGTTTTTCTCATGATAATTGCTGCCTAGGTGCTTGTTTCAATATGATAAAAAAATTTAAAAAAAGTTCCGCAGCGTGCTTAAGGAGATGCTGGAGTGCCGGTCGAACTTAATTAAGGTCGATTAATCAACTTAATCAAGGTCGGTTTTTTAAATTCCAAATTCGATAATATTGACATCTTTCATTCATTTTTTATACTTATTGTATATCGTTGTGTCTCGCTCAAACGTATTCATCTGTTCTTATCTAATATATTGCAACGCCATCTCTTAGAAAGGGATCAACTAAAATACTGTTCGGTTTCATGGCTTTACGTCATAATTTTATTCGTAGCATACGAACGAAATTTTTGGTGACTTTTTCTCTTATACTGAAGCACCTACCTCGTTTCTAAAAGCATGGGATTGTTCTTCGAGGTTTTCTGTAGGCTGCTTATTTTAAATGGATAAAATCTGAAATTCTTATATACAGCAATATATTGTAACGAGTTGACTGCAGAAGCCGGTGACAAAACTACAATTTTTAATTTTCTTTCATTTTTCGTATTAAATTGTAGCTGGCAGCCTGTGTTGTTGTCGATACTTTAATTGTGAAGAAGGATTTTTCAATCCATAAACATAATTAAGAGAAAAGAGTCTTTAAAAATTAATGGTAAAACAGGACACTCCAGCATCCCCTTAAGTGTCTTAATAAATATTTTCTATTCTATATCTATTCCATTTTCAGATCGATGCATACATATCGCACTATCATATTATTCATATTGAAAGATTGATGTTCAATTTCTGCTTTCATTTTACACTGTTGCATGATGAACGACATTATAAGTCAATGTAGGATTACATTAAAATTAAAAATTACGTAAATAACCGATAATATGTGAGACTTTAATATTACCAGATATGTAAATATGAAACCGGAATTTACCAATAGATGGTCATAGCTGTCAATGTAGTTGCCGTCCGACGCGCGCGTCATTGACGCCATTTCCTTATTCTGACATCTGACAAAGATTTTCAACTCACAACAATACAAGTTTCATACAAC